TTTCAGATACTTTAGAAAAAATCTTTTAAATAATCATTAGCAACACTTCACTACCTCTGTTCAGTCCTTGACCCACTGCCCTCCAACTGAGGACACCTCAAGCCATTACAGCATCTTATTACCAAGGTCAGCAATAACCTTCTAATTGCCAAAGACAGTGAGTTTGTTTCAGCTCTCAACTTGACCTTGACATGGCATTTGACAATGTTGATGACTCTCTCCTATATGTTTTCTTCTTTAGTGTGACTTTTTCTCCTTGGCTTCTCTATACTTGTTATTTCAAACCTACTTTAAAAATTAGTTGTTTCCTTCTTGGTGAAAAATCTTTATCTTCCTCTTTCCTGTGCCACAAATCCAACTGCCCAGATGAAAGGTTCCATCTGAATGTGTCACAGTCATCTTAAATTTGGTATGTCCCAACTGAACTCATTATGTTTTCCAGCCAGCCTGCTTCTTCTAATGTATGCCGTCTCTTAATAAATGACCCCATCCAAGTCAGAAACCTGGGACTTATCCTCAACCAGTCTTTTATACTTTTTCCCCAGGTTCACTCATTAAATCCTCCTAAATGTCTATCAGATTTTTTTCCTTCTCTCCATTCCATTTGCCTCTGCCTCAGTTCAGGTTCTCATAACTTTACCTTAACTGGATGCCCTCCCTGGAGTCTCACTTCCCTACAATCCATCCTCTACACTACTGTGACAGTCAGCCTCCTGATAGGTGAGTCTGCTCATGCTATACCCTTTAGAAGGTATTCACAGTCTCCATGCTCTAATTCCTGCCTACCTTTTAAGTTCATCAACCACAACCTCCACAGAGCACCATAGGTTCAGGCCACAGCTACAGTTCTCTGAACTGGCTGGGATGTTTCTGTACTTCGGCATATGCTATTTCCTTTCCCTAAAATGTCTTTTTCCCTTGACTGTATGGTATACTCCATACATCCTTAAAGATTTAACTCAAAGTCTGTAAAGACTTTCATTCTCTCTGGTAGTATTATAAGCATTCTCTTCCTTGTGACTCCGATTAAAGTGTGCACATGTCCTGTATATAGCACCTGCCACACTGTATCGTGATGTTTGCAGTTCTTTCCTCCCTACCAGGTTACATGTTCGTTAAAAGCCAGAACTATGAACCTGTCACAGTGCCTGGCACATGCTAAGTGTTCAATGAAATTTTGTTGAATGGTTTGAATTAATTGTCATGCCACAGGCTACTATATAGTATGACTTAAAGAAATATTTGTTCTACACGATCATTCAGAGTAATAATCGGAGTATAAATGATCATGTTTCTGTCTGCCGTGAGAGTTGAGTAGGGTGTCATTCTGAGAAACCCAAATTCCTTTTCTGCAAAGTAGAAGCCCTGTACGGTCAAACTGTTTCCTCACTGGGTATAAAAGGATCAGAATCCATCAATTATCATTGATGGTCCTAACGAACACTCTTCTGGCTCTAGATGAGCAGTATCACGTTTGGCCAAGGAGCACTTGGTTCTCCCTTCCCAGAACCTTAACCGGTGCAGTAAAGGCTCACAGGTGGCTGTAGGCGACCCTTCCCCCTTCCTCCTCCTCTTAAGCTTTGCTCCAGTCACCCTGACCGCCTCGATAAAGCCACTGTCGTCACTGTCTCTCATCCACTGCACCATTACGGGGCTCTCTTGACCTCAACGTTGCTTCACTCGCGTCTGCCTCCAGGTGGCGGGCCGAGAAGGGAGGAGAGGGGAGCAAAGACTCCCCTCCTGCTTACAGATGATGTATGCCTAAGGCCACCAGATGGCGGATACTCACCTTATCCCCGAGAGACGATGGATTCCAGGGCAATCCGAGACAGGTCAGAGTCCACTCCGTCCTCCTAATACCTGTCTTGCAGCAGCGGGCACAACCTCTCTAGCCTCGGGCCTGGTGTGTACAGATGGCCTGCTGCGGTTGCCTAGGAAACCTACTCTCCGCCTCCAGCGACCTGTAGTTGAGGAGGGGGATGGTGGGGGCGGGGTAAGCAGCAGCCGACCCGAGTCTGCATCACGTGGCGCCAACCTCCAACCAATCAGCAGAGGCAGTGGTCCAGCCGGAAGACCCCGCTGGTGCTCCTGGGAAACGAAGGGAGCTTCTGGTTTGTGGTTTTGTTCGTACCTACGCGCGTCTTTTCTCCTACCTTCGGCGACTCGGAGGGCCAGACAGGAAGCAACGAGTTGTGGGGCAAGGTGGCAGGGAACTAGTTGGTGTCTCCTCCAGACCTGCCTCTCTCATGTAGAAAATCTTTGGCCCTCGGGGCCTGGACGCCCGGAGCCTCTGTGAACTTGAACTCCAAAGGCGTGGAACTATGATGTCACAAGGCGGCCTGGCGACCGAGACGAGCCCTGATACCCCGGCGCAGCCTCCCTCTAGCGTCCCGGGACCACCACCTTCCGGGAATGTAGCTGACAGCCGCCTGCAGCTGCTGTGCACCCAGCGAGCCAAATCCAAGGACGGCGCGGGCAAACGAACGCTCCTGTGTCCCCCGGAGCAGAGATGGACTTTCCAGTGGTGGTCTTGTCGTTCTTGGACAGGATTTTCAGTGACTTTTAAGTATTCGAAAATGTTCAGGAAACAAAAATTTTCTACAAAATAAAGAAGAATTGAAAGGGAAAAAGGGGGAAGCTTTTCAGAGTGGGTAGAGGGGCTGAGAAATGAATGAAGTTAGTAAAAGACAAACCAAAGTGACTGCAGCTCTCGTTTCATTCTCTAGATCTGTGTTCGGATATAGTAAGCCAGTAGCTAGCCAGTCACGTGTGCCTGTTGAGCACTTGATGGTGTGCTGTAAAATACCCATGGTATGTTTGAAGCTTAGTATGAAAAAAGCAATATAAATTAATTCGCTAAGTTTCATGAAAAAGAAAGGCAATAGAATAAAAATTAAAATAGTTAATTATATTGTTTACACGTTGAAGTAATTTTTTTGATACATTGGGTCAAATAAAATGTATTGCTTCTGCTTTGAAAATGCAACTATTATAAAAATTTTACATTGCGTATGTGAATTTCATTATGTTTCTTTTGGACAGTGCTGCTCTTTTTTTGTGAGTGTGTGTGGTTTAGTTGGCTTCTGTAGAATATTTATGATCAGTTCATACAAAATAGCGTCTGTAGTGCTTTTGTCCATCACCAGATGGCTGTCTCATTCAATGGATTATAGTTTCACGCTGCATTCTCAAGAAAAATAGTTCAGGTTTAAGAAATATTTCCATTTATTTAACAACTACCAACAATTCAGCATATTTGCTGGGATTCAGTTAACTTTATTTGTAATATTAACTGTTTGTAAAGATATGTAGATGTATGGAAAAAGGTAAACTAATTTTCCTACATTTTTATTGCACGGAAAATTAAACTAATTAAAATATTTGTGGCTTAGGGGTTTCAAACTAATGCCAGAAAAATTTGATTCATAATTTTTACTTGTACTACTATCCTCTCCAAAAGCTAGTTGAACAAGATGACCTGTCTTTGGGGATTTTTTTTTTTTTGGTAGAATATAAAGACTAGAAGATAATAGTTCAGGTTTCTAAACTTTTAAATATAGAAATTGGATTAGAAATCAATTAGATGAATTACCTACATCAAGTTTCTCATTTCGGGCAGATGCAGCTCTTTGGATGAAAGTATATTGTTAGAAATCTGTTGTGATTTTCCTAACCAGTGAAAGACTGGGAGAAAGATAACATAGTTTACTTTATTATATGAACAAATAATTTTAAGAATGTTTTATTTCTAGTTAAAGCTCAAGGATTTGGCCAGTAAACAATTGAGTCAGAGTTTCTTTATAGCTGTAGACTTAATAACCATTGGTGACTTGCCAAACTAAAGCCTTTGTCCACAGTAATTCTTAAAAGAATTGCCTGTTGTTCACATATTCCAGATATTTGAAGCAAAAGATGCTTACACTTAAAAGCCGTAAGAGTAACACAAAAACAGTGACCATTTTTCTTAATCTCCTTTTCTCACTTTAAATTTGCTTTATGATATAATTTTATGTACAAAAAAACAATGGAATTTGAAACTACTAGAAGTCTAGCAAATTGAATAATTATCCAAAGTGAAATAAGACTTCATTTCATTCATCTCTCTTCATATTCATAGACAAAAGCCAAACCATATAAACTTAAATCTATTTATAGGTAAAGAAATCTTGAATCTGAAAACAACTTGAAGATATAGTACCACTAATTATGACAGACTTACTGCATCACCTCCCAGATTTCAACCAATAGAGGTGACTGTAAAATTTTGAAAAACATAATAATTTGTTAATTAAAACTTTTTTAGTCAGTTGTTAAGTTTATTTCTCAAAACTGCCCTATCCTTATTGGTACATAACTGTGGAGATAACTAATTACAATTCTATAATATCTTGTAAGGCCTTTAATTCCAGAGAACTAAGTTTAGATGTTTTAAATGCTAATTAGATTTTTGTATTCTTGTAGACATTTCATTCTTATGCAAATAAGGACTTTCCGGCTAATGATTTTATTATATTATCTGTAAAAATTCACTGTCTCATATTTGAATTTGATATAAAGGATCATAAATTCAGCACAACTTAGGATTTAATTTGGCAGTGGAAGAGAGAATTATGTGGTGTTCATCAACAGAGGCCCTCTTATTATTCATGTCTAGCAATAAATATATATTAAGATCCAATTAAAAGTTAGGGGTTGTTCTGAAGTAAAGTTTTAATTAGATAAACAGAATGCTATTTCTAGTGGATCTGTCCAGAAAGGTTAAATAGTCTTTGTTCATGATTTGTTGATATATAATTTATGGACAGCTTTTCTTAAAAGGAAGCCAGAATGGAACTGTAAAAATCACTACCTCCTCTTTTACCATTCCAGTTATATTTACATTTAGCTCTAACATGGCAAATTGAGGGACAGTGAATTTAAGCAGAAGCTGTAGGCTTAATTCACTAGAGAGCTGACCAGTTCTTTGTGTGGGAGAATTCTTGTTTCCCTCCCTCTTTTCCTTTCTGTCCTTTATTTAGACCTTAGGCTTAGAAGAAAGTTGATTGCATTCCTCAGGTCAAAGTACATTATCATCACTGATCCATACAAGACCCTTCCCTAGTCTTATCTCCAGTTTTTTTTCCAGTCCCCAGCCCATCTCAGCCATGGGCACAAATCTAATGTTTCCTATAAACCTCTGGTTGTGCATTTATCTTTGAAAAATAGACAGTGTTGTTTGTGTCTGTATTTTTACTTTACAGAAATGATATGCTATAATTTTATTCTGATGCTGTTTTATTCAGTGCTACTTGAAGACCTATCCATGTTTCTATATGTGCATATAGTTCATATATTTTGCACAGTATTCCATACTGTACATTAACCATGTTTTGGGTATCTTTCTTTCTTTGTTTTGCTACTGATGTGTACTTAGGTTTACTCCAGTATGCAACACAGCAATGAACACGTTGCCTTGTAATTGTTTTCTTAAGGACAGTTTCTCTGGGATATATATCAGGAATAGAATTCTTGGGCAAAAGACATACTTAATTTCACTAAATACCGTCTGATACCTTTCTGGATTGGCTGTCACACATCTACCTCCTACCAACAGTACTTGAGAATTCTCATTCCCCTTATTCGGGAAATATAATTGAAAACAAAATCTCCTGCCAACATCTCCACAAAGGTAGAAGAAAAAGCAAACAGTTCTATTACTGAATAAACATTAAACCAGAATGTTGTGTGTATCACAGGCAATCCCCTTAAGAGATCGCTAAGACAGAAAGAAATCTTACCCTTTTATATAGCTGAGCAGGTGCAACTCATTATGTACACGTTCTCAAAATAAATGATAACTAGTCCTCAAGTAAGAGGACTTGACAAACACCATTTGTCACACCTTTAGGATGAACAATTCACCTGGTAATTGGGGTGACCATCTGTGTTAGCTAAATGGCTTTATTCAAAGAAAAAATAAACTCATATCTTTATGACAGGAAGCAGTTTGGGAGCGAGGCACCTGCTGAAATTAAGCTCCCATTGTCTCACAGAAACTGGGAGATGAGGGCCCTTTCTTCCTTGATGGCTCCCAGGTCCCCAAGAAAGTCATTCCAGGGTTATTAAGCTGGCAAGAGCCTTAGGTTTTAAAAAGATTTATTATACATGCATGTCAAAGAGACAAAGAATTTACCATTATAGGCTTTCTGAAGAAAATGCTTTGTAAGAAAAGAGGAAAGAGGAGTCTCTTCCTTTCAGTACTAGGGAAAATTAATTTTTTAAATTTGTATTTATCTTTATACTCATATCTTTGTTAAATGTTTGTTAATGTCTGCCTCCACCACTAAAATTTGAGCTCTATGAGGGCAGGGATCACACTGTATTCCCAGCATCTAGCTCAGTGGCTGTCACACAAGTGCTCAAGAAAGATTTTTTTTTTTATTTCAGCAAATTATGGGTGTACATATGTTTAGGTTACGTGTGTTGCCCTTGCTTCCCCCCCCCCCCACCAAAGTCCGTGTTTCAAATATGTCCATCCTTCGGGTAGTGCGCATTGCACTCCTTGTGTATACAAATACCCGTCCCCTCCTCCCTCCTCCCCCCTCCTCCCGCCGCCCTTCCCGTGGTACAGATGATTTTTTTAAATGTATGAATAAGTAATGTGCTTAGTTTTTTATATAAACGATCTCGTATTTTGATCAATTTGTTGTTGCAGGCTGCTAGAATGCCCATAGCATCCTGTCCCTCCATCCGGTCACTGCTTGCTTTCTCTAGGAAAGCAAGAAGTAGCCGACAATTTTTTTCTCTGCAAACTTAGAGACAATTCCAAGTTTCTTCCACATTAAGTAAGCTGTAATAAATGCTATATGAAGATTGGGATTTATAAAACTCAAATTGGCAATGATGGTTTACTCTAAATATCCAACTCCTCT